ATTAATACCACCACTTTTACCTTAACAATGCCTGCTGTGGAAATTTATGAACTTGATGAGTTATTATTAAATCTTAATATATAATATTAAATTTTTCATGATCATGTTTCATAATAGTGTGACAATGATTTGGAGTGGTGAGCGTTTCTAGCTCCAAAGTTTACAACTAAATACTTATGTATCGAGGGTCTGTTCAATTACATTACAAATACTTTGAATGTTGAACTACAAGGTTCAATGCCTACAATGATGAGATGAGCAATGAGGGAAAACAAGGGGGTAGTTTATATCAAGGTTTTGGTTGGGAAGAAAAAGAAAACAAGGTTTGAATATATCTAAGTACAAAATTGTTGTTACATTGACTTTCTCTTCTTCGGCACTCTCTGCAACTTCCTCCACTTGAGGTAGGTGTTATACGACAGCCCAGAAAAGACCATGACAACAGACCCCCATTGCCTTGTTGACAGAGGATTGCCACTCAGCAAGGAAGACACCACAATGCTTACAAACTTGCGGGTAGTGGTAATGGTGGTGTTAGCTAAGGAGCCAAATCGGCTTATGGTTAGGAAAATGAAGTTCTGGCCAACAGCACCACAGAGACAAAAGAGAAGAATGTCCCAAGCTGCTTCTGGATGCCTCTTGCAGAACTGGACTGCCTCAAATCCGCTGCCCCATGGCCAACCAAACATGTAGACCATGTTGTATATGGTACCCCATAAATTCATGCCTAACATTATTTCCCAGGCGCTTGTCTTTGGATACCTGAGCAAAGGATGCAAGTAAAAGGATTAAGACTGAATTCTAAACTGGTTGCACACGGATGAATCGAAATATCAATTTAATTAATCTAATCCTATAGTAAGAATAGTTCAGATTCATGTGTGTCAAAGAATAACCGAAAAATCAACCAGTACAGGAATGGTTGTAGAAGGATGATGTTGTTCTTTAGATCATACCTTGCTTTTATGGAATCCTGGGTGGCATTTGTGAATCCATCAAAAGCAAGGTTTAGGAAACACAGTCCATACCCAAGGGGTGCATTTGGGTGAGCCAACTTGCTGATAGTCTTCGAGCTAGTCTGAAATTGACCCAAGCATACATGACAAAAACATAAGAATAGCAACAAAAACTGCTAGATGCATTCACTAATTGTATGAAGAATTATTGAGGACAAATTACAAACAGAAAATTGACGAAAGCAAAAGAAGAGTTTCATTATTGTTCCATTCTTAAGACAATATACGCGCACACACAAATGCACACGATCTCTCACCTTCAAGAGTGCAAATATGGATACCCCTCCAGCAACAAGGAGAGTGCAAACATATTCGGGAAAGCTGTATCTTTGCTTGTAGACCAGAGTACCCATTAGCATCACTGCACACAAGTCATAATCTCTTATTAACTCCGCCATTTGCAACAATATCTTTTACTTTGTTTGTATTTGTTTAAGAAACAAAAAAAATAATCAGAAAGATAGTCCACAATCTTAACTACCAGAACATAATTTTACAATCAAATGCTGAATCCCTTATTGAACTTAATGATAAGCATGCTTCTTGTAGTAAGATACACAAATATAACAAACTTGTAAATATCTGACCTGGAATCATTTTTGAGGACTTTGCCAAGACCTGCAAGTAAAAACCATAGCTTTAATATCCCAAATCAACAGATCCATATATTTCCCAGGGTAAGGAGATCCATAAATTGCTATTTTTCATATTTGTTTTAATTTAGTTTAATATAGAGATTTTTAAAAACTCTTTTCTGGTCGTCACTTCAATTACCAATTCAACACCCTGATCAACTCAACTCAACGCAACTAATCATTTGTCCCAAAATTTAAAGAGATTTCGACTACATGGACTTTTGCTCCAAACTAATAGAGGTCCTAAGAACATAAACATTTTTCTGCCACTGAATTTAATCCAAAGGAAATGAAATACTCCACTAATATGTGACAATCATCTGCCTCTGGGCTGATTTGACCCTAAAGAAACCCAAATCAGGCAAACTAGAACTAAGACAGAATAGGCATTAAAGCAGATGGCCAATGCAGTTAATTTCAATTATATATATATATATATAAATATATATAGCCATAGCCATATTCTTTCATACTGCCCATTTGGGTTACTGGCCTGGGTACATCATCAAAAAGAGAACTTGAAAGCAAACCTGAGCCGGGTAACTGATATACTTCAAAGCTTCAATCCCCATAGCGGGTCCAATCGTATTAGTAATCCCTGCACTCCAGTATGTCCACAAAGGCGCACCTCCAGCATTCCGACTATTCCAAAGCTTTATCACTGTTTAAATAAACCACATGACAACATTATTATTTAGTTTTTTTCTTTTTTTCTTTTACTAGCTCAAATCAGTCCACATTACAAGAAATGCAAGGTAAACAGAGAGATTGAAGCTTACTTATATAGGACCAGATTAGGCAGACCACATTTTGGGCCAAGTTCAGGAACGCAAGGTGCTCGAACCTATTCCCATCTGGCCCGAACCGCTTCGTGGACCTAGAAGAAAGATCACAACAGCACCAGATTTTGGTCATGTCAAAGATTGAATCTCAAAATTTTGCAGACAATTTAAGGAGCTCAAAAAATCCCCAAAAGGTTGCGTGATCTGCGAAATCCCCAAATGCAGAGGACAGAAAGAAGACGACTTACAGAGTTTCCTGAAGAACGCCTTGGTAAATATAAGCAGTCCAAATTCCGACGACGCACAAGCTGAACACCAACACACGCTGGAGCAACGACCCGTGAACTTCCATTTCGGCGCCGATATAATGTGGCCGGAAATATTCCTCTGGATCCGGCCGCTGCCACTTTTTTGGTTTTCCTTTTCCAATTGTTGTTGTTGTTGTCTTTTTTCACCAAAATTTGGGTCGAGATGAGAAGGTTTAAGAGGAAAGGAAGCAGCAGCGGGAGATGGAAGCTACAAGCAAATTAGCCAAGTAATTTTGTTCATAACTGCCACAATACCGGAAACGGGAAGAGACGGTTGATATAGGAGGGCGCGCAGAGGCTACGTGGGTTTTTGAACGTGGACGCTTGTGATTGGGTGGATGACTCTACCTCGCGTTTCTCATTGGCTGCAGAAACGCGGACCCTTCTCCTTGGCAGTTGGCACAATATTGCTATTTATTTTTTTGAGTTTAGGGTTATATTTATTTTGGTAGCATTAACTTCAGTTCATGGGGCAGCTTAATTATCAGTATTTTTTATTTTAACATTCAAATATATGTACCTTTTGAAATAGTTTCAACGTGCTTCTGTTGTTAGGTTGTTGGTTAACAAATTTGTTAAACGAACACGTGTCAGTGTCACGCTTGATAAAATTTAATATTCGTGTTTTCAATTTTAACATTTGTTTGGGCCTAAAAATTGACACACCCAGCCCAGCGAAAATGAGGCCCATAATAAAGCTGCAAAAAATCAAAGCAATTTGGTCTTCGAGAAACAGAAAGATGGAAGCCCAAAAACCAGAAGAGCCCAACCCAAAGCTTATCAAAACAAACAAAACTAACCTGGGCCTCACAGGCCTGATGTGATAAAAAGAGGGAGCCCAGAAACATGAAACAAACTCACGTGACATCTCTGAGATAAAGGAAAGTCAACAATGGCAACTGTCATAGAAGAAGTGATTGAAAAGTTTATGACATCAAGCTGTTTTGAAAAACCTGAAAAAACTTGAAGATCAAAATCCCTCTTACATATACATATTCAGAGATTTTTTTTCTCTTCTATTTTTACATAGAAGGTAATTCTCCCAAAGAGATAAGCAAGCTACAATCTCAGAGAAGGATAAGCAGGAAAGTAGGGAGCTGTCCAGAAAAGAAGTCAAAACTAACCATCACGGATGAAATCTCACAAGGGGCAGTTGAAATTGGGAAAAGAGATTAGTTTCTTTTTCAAGAAAAATAGGGAAGTGATTGCCTATTTGAGAGCCCATCTGCCAAAACTGATGAAATTCTATTTTCTTTCTTTCCATTAAGAAAGAAAAAAAGGGAGATATCTTTTTGCCGCCCAATATTAAACAGAATCACCCTACTCCAGAAGACTATAAATACAAAGAAAGAGTGAACAAGGAAAGGACAACAAAAAAATCATCATCCAATCAAACAAAGATCTTACATAAGGAAACAGTCAAATAGACAGCTCAAAATCAACCAACAAGCCCACTTGAATTTCAAGTGAAACCAGCTTCAGATCAGAATTCCCAAGGCCCAGACTTAAGAAGCAAGTCATTCAAAACGAGATTTCTCTCGTTACAAATTTGGTTCAACAAAAACCAAGACAGGTAGAGCTTGAGCTTCCTCCAAACAAGGAAAACCTCAACAAGATTCACAGTGCAGTCTCTAGCCCACTGAAGTCCTCAAAAACAGTCACTTCTGCCCGTGCAGACTGAGAAAACCGCAGTTCTGTCCACTCAAAAGCTTCACAAAAGCTTAAGGTACATTGACGCTCTGCCAGAATCAACCTTTGGTATCGATTTACAGTTGAAACCTAGCAGTCAAAGTTGTCAACGGTCCAGTCCAGCCCGGATCAGAACCTTCCCTCTCGACAGAAATGGAGTTCCAGCTGTCTCTTCATCTCTCTTTAGCATGAGCTTTTATTGTTATATTTTTGTAAAAGGCAGTTCCGCCTAAAAACAGTTTAAATCCCATCAACTATTCTGACCAGAACAACCTCTTTATACTGAGATAAATTGTTAAAGTCCTCACCAGTCTGAGGCAAGAAAAGAACTTACTTGGGAGATATTCCTCACCTAAATTCACAATCGCTTGTTTGCAGAGATCAGTAACTTGGGACGCAAGTTATCCATTCCAAACTAAGTCTGTTATAATTTTTATTACTAGCAGTGGCACGCTCGCACACCAAAGAAAGTGACTTGTTGACCAGTTTATGGTTCTCAAGGCAGTAGAGAACTTTGCCCTTCTATTATATGAGTAAACGCAAAACGGGTGAACAACATTTAAACACCTGAACCTTTTGAAATAGTTACAATGTGGATTTGTAATTAGGCGTACGGTCAGAAATTCTATTACAAATTAGTGGGAAAATAATCTAAATACAAGTCCCCATTTTCAAAAATAGTTTGATTAAAAAAAACATATGTAGGTTTGCAATAGTAGCTTCCCCATAAATTTCTTGACTTTTATTTTGGTTTTAGTGTTTTTTTTCTTGGCACATAACACTTAAGGCCCAAATGAACTTGTCCAGTCAACATTACCTTACGCTTGGAGCCCAAGCCCACTGTTTCGTGTTGGGCTTTCTTGGCGGCCATTGTGCATAAAAGAACAGAAAAAACAAAAAAGAAAAAAAAAGGGAAAACGCCAATAGGCTTGGAGTACGTGGAGGACCCAGACTCACATAGGTGATAGGTGGCTAAGCTGGATATGGCTAGTGGTGGGAACGCCACGTTATTCAATTCTCCTATGCATAGTTGGTATGGTATGGTATGGTAAATAGGACTCATACGTATAAAATACTTACATATATTATTTGGTAAATTTCTTGAAAAAATTCGGCAATTATATAATAGTATAATATTACATGATTGCCAAATAATATGGTACGTTAAAAATATGCCAATAATATGTACATGATTGCCAAATATGCAAAAGATATGTATATTATTGTAAAAACACGTATACAAATGAATAATATGATTATGTATTTTGTATAATTAAGACACGTAAATACGTATATATTGTATACGAATTGACTAACTAAGTGTTATGCATGTATAATCATAGTGTCTTACTATCATTGGCATACACACGTCTTGATAAGAAATCAACGGTTGGCATTTGGTAGGTGACGGGTTGGTACGAGTTTCTTTCTTCCTTGGTGTTCACTCCTTACCCTATCATTGTCTTTGCATGATTTTTTCATCTCCTGCATCAATCATCACTACTAGACAAGACAACTAACATTCCCCTTTTCCCTTTCTTTCCAAATTTTCTTTCTTAAATATTAGTAGGAGTACAAAAACAAGTCTTGAAGCCCTTACATAGCGAGGGGCCTCATTATAGGTAAAGTAGTTAAAAACAGTTATTCATATACAGTGTATTGAAGTGATAATTGGTTCGATGTTTATCATTCTCAATACCGGTGTAAAATGAATGGATAAAAAGGAATACAGATTTTAACCCATCATACTCAAAGCTGGCCTAAAAGTCAAAGCAAACAAAAAACAGAATTGTCATTTGGTTTTCTAATTCGACGAGTTACAACACAACTTTGAAGCATCCAATACTAGCGCTACTAAAACAGAATTAATTGTCTTCTGTTGTATGCAGAAGCATTTTCCGATCAAGACATTTGACAAGTCTCAACATCTCTCCACCGACTCATTAAGTAATTTCACCTGGCATCATCCCCAGATTATTACCAGATCATTTTTTTTTTTCTTCCACCATTGACAAATTCAGCTCAGTAATTAAAAATTCTTCTTAATATTCAATCTCATCTCTTCTAGAAGAATTTCCTAAAACAGAAGTTGTTCTTCCAGCGTTATTAAGTTACTAATACTTTGAAACCCCAACGTAATTAGGAAACAATATCTATAAAACACAGAATTATCTGATGGAACCCTTTCCCCTGCAGCATTTATTTATTTATTCAGATATATATAGCAGTAGGGTCAAGTGTGAAAACGGTTTGCGCATGCAAAGAATTCCAGTCAAGGCATATATCAAATTTCTACGCAATAATATTATTATTAGTACAAGGCTGCCCACATGCTTCCTCAAATCAAACTCCTCTTTCTCTCTCTCTCTCTCTCTCTCTTCCATTTGTTTTTGCTTAAGCCAATTGCTTCGCACATGACCTACTATGTCCATTCCCAAATATACCCCTCAAACAGTTCGCAATATTAAGCTTAAGATTTTTATATCCAAACTTGAGTTAGACGGTTAGGCTTGTTGATCGGGGTAGTGTGACTTTCTTTTTGCATTGAGTCTTAAGATATTTCTCTTTTAATTTTAAAAAAATTCTAATGACTAAGACAATTATTCGAGAAAGTGTTGGAGGGTATTAATCCTTCCTAGCTAAAAGATGAAATTATTGACCGAATAAAAAAGATGGTCACGAGCCATTTACTCAGTCAACCAATACTGTAGTGTGTGTGCCCACAAATAATTGGTAAATTGAATTAGTATTGTGAAATCGGAATCGAAGGCTGGAAAGCATCTATAGGATCTGTGCAAAGCAAGAGTGATAAACAAGCATTCTCCTCCCACCTTTATTTAAATCGAGTGTTGCTATATTATTATTTTACTTGCACTATCAACATTAAAAAAAAAAACAAAAGATTATTCTTTTGCTTCTTTGACTCTTGCAACGTCGACTAATGGAGATTTGAATTAATTAAGCCCTTACACATCGTTGCAATTTGTAAGCCATTATATATAAATATAATTATTTATGTACTCAACCGTCTCGCCTCGTGCAATATTCAAAACATTTTAATATCCTAGTTACAATAATAAAGAAAAACAAATGTAGTAACATATTCAAAATCATCTCATAATTCTGATAAGAAATATAATAAAATTCGAGTTATTCTTTTTACAAATTCATTTCACATTCATTTTTAAATATCAGCCGTCCATATGCTCATAAACGACTATTCTAAATCATCGACAATTAATCACCACCTGATACTAATGACATCACAAAAAGGGTTGTTAATCCACACTAAATTAGGCACTAACGACGATTGTACTATTACAACTGATGTAGGCATCTTCTTTAATTTAATCAATTTCTTCCCCAAAGAAAACAAAAAGAATTATGGACATCACAGGGGTAGGTTCAATGGAAATAGCGAAGGGTACTTTCGTCATTCTTCAAATGATGGCTCATTGACAAACTACAAGTCCACACGAGGGAGGGCTATTAAAGAGAATTCACGAGGTGAAGGTGGTGCGCACGTCACTGGTGAGCGAGCCCCCACGCGTTTGTCGTGTTTCTTAACCGAGGCAGACTCATTCTGTCTGCAAAATTTCTTCTCTGTTTCCCTTTCCGCACCTTCACCGTTCTTTCTTCTTCTTCTTCTTCTTCATCTTCTCTCCTCATATTATTTTTATTTTCTTAGAAAGCAGCACAATCATAAAGAACCCAGAACAAGTCAGCTACAGTTTCTTCTTCCCTCTTTGCAATGACTTGCTGATTGTTTACCAACAAAACCTTGTGTTCGTAAGAAGTCGTAAGAAGACTAAAGAGAGTGCCTTTGGGCTTTGGAGTTGCAAATGGGAAACTGCTTAGATTCTTCAGCTAAAGTAGACACAGCACAGAGCTCCTTTGGTACTTTGGGTAACTTATAAATGATTTACTATGAAAATTACCTTATTTGTTCATATTTTCTGAATGAACTGGTCTTGTATTTTGATGGGTTATATTTTGTTGTTTCTTTGATGGGTATATTTTGATGTTCTTCTGAGAGTCTTTTTTGGTTCAAAGTAATGAAATTTTAGCGGGTTCGGTTGTTTTTCACTGGATAAGAAAGTTGTGTTCGTTTTGGGTTCTGGATAGCTCGGTTGAACTTGAATAAGATCATTAGCATTTTTGAAGCAACTTCTGCTATTAAATGAAGTCTCTTTCTTTTCTTAGCTCCTGGTTTCATTTTTTCTGCGCATATTCGTAAATGGAAGATCTGTCTCTCTCTCTTTTTTTTTCTTTTTTTTTTTTTTTCTAATGAACTTTTTTTCCCCAATGAATCGTCAATTTTTTCACTGTCATTTATAAGTTTTTAATCTTTATTTAGCCGTTCTTGTTTCAACCATAGGATATTTTTCCCGTTTAAGGAGAATATAGGAACACGTTGAAGACAGTCTTATAGAGTTTGTCATTATTTGGTAATGCTCAGTGCACTTTTGGTAATCTCATTTAGGCTCATAATTGTTATATTTTTCTCAGTTTGCTTTTGTCTAAAAATGGGTTCAATCTATGAGAGTGAATTTTGACAATTATTTGAATTCGTTACCATGATCATGTGAAGGTTTAGCTTTAATGGCACGCTAAACTCTCTGAAAGCAACGACTTTAGTAACATTCGGGGTCTGATAGAGGTCCTTTATGCCAAAAGAAAGGTGTTTTTATGGTCCTCAAAAGATGCTTAATTTAAGGTGTTTTTTTGAGCCAGTCTAGCTTGTAGCCTTCTTTGAGATCATCTGATAACTTAAAACTCTGTACGTTGATCTACCAGTTTACATAGTTGTCCTGTTAGAATCCAATAAAAATATTATACACTCTTAATGTTTTCAATTTTGAATTAATTTGCAACATATTCTTGAAGATTTGTACTACATATCGAGGAACGATCTAATTGGTGTAGGGCTACTTTTGTTTTTCACGAATTGATTGTTGATTACCAACTGCTTCTCCTGTCAGGATCAGGGGTTTCCAAAATTTCCAGCAAAACCAGCCCTTCCTCAGCTCCCTCCAGCTTGACCATCCCATCATCTGGTGAAAGGAGCAATGGTTCAAGTCTTCCTACACCAAGAACTGAAGGTGAAATATTGTCGTCTCCAAATTTGAAAGCCTTCTCATTCAATGAGCTAAAGAATGCCACCAGAAACTTTCGCCCTGACAGTCTTCTCGGTGAAGGAGGATTTGGTTATGTTTTCAAAGGATGGATTAATGAACACACGTTGACAGCTGCAAAACCAGGGTCCGGAATGGTTGTTGCTGTCAAGAAGCTCAAACCTGAAGGTTTCCAAGGCCACAAGGAGTGGTTGGTAGGTTTCTTCTATAACAATTTTCTGTATGTGTGTTGTGTATAAAATCTCATGTTTGGCTTATTTACTGATAGCCAATAAATTTCAGACAGAAGTAAATTATCTTGGCCAACTGTACCATCCAAATCTGGTTAAGCTAATCGGGTACTGCTTGGAGGGTGAGAACCGTCTTTTAGTGTATGAGTTCATGCCGAAAGGAAGCTTAGAGAATCATCTGTTTAGAAGTAAGTGATGTATTCCTCTGATGTTAATATTTCCCCCCACCCTCATCTCACAATTGTTTAAATTATCTTGAAGTTAAACTTTTTGCTCATTTTCTTTCAAGGGTTTAAATCTCAAACAAGGTTGCATTTGCAATTTTGAAGAAACTCCTTGGTTTGGGCTTGAAACCTATATAATGTTGAACTTTTACATTTGTTTCACAGGAGGGCCGCAACCACTTTCATGGGCAACAAGAATGAAAGTGGCCATAGGTGCTGCCAGGGGCCTCAGTTTTCTTCATGAAGCCGAATCACAAGTCATATATCGGGACTTTAAGGCTTCCAATATCTTACTAGATTCAGTATGTTGAACAAAGAGGACACTAGTTCATCCCTTTAGCAGTTATGCCTAAATATCTTATGATTAAATTGGATAAATCACTGACATTATGGTGCATGGGGGTCCAGGAATTCAATGCGAAGCTTTCTGATTTTGGCTTAGCTAAGGCGGGCCCCACTGGTGACAGGACTCATGTATCTACTCAAGTCATGGGTACTCAAGGCTATGCAGCACCTGAATATGTTGCTACAGGTGTGTTTAATGTCTATATTAAGTATTGTTGCTATTTCACCTTCGAACAAAGTTTGCATTGAGGCATCTTTTTATGGCCATTTCACCAAATTTCCCATAGTCCGGACTGGTCATCTCTAACACTTTGATTAGAGGAGTCACCTTGGTGCCAGTTGACTAATAATAAGTGATCATTTGCAAACTTTCTGTTCAGGTGGAATTTACTCATCTATTGATTCAAAAGGTCAAGAAAGAAAAAAGTTAAGCTTTTGAGTTGTATCTGGGAATAATTTATTGGTAGAAATTTGATTTATCCTTAATATTTGACATTAAGATTTCTTCAAGGTGGAACATTTGTAAAAATGGGCTCTGCATTTATGCGCAAGCCATGGTTGTGGCGGAAACAATGCAAAGAATCTTGAGTACTTGGATTCACTGTGTTCACATCACATAGTAATGCTTCTTTACTTGGCTTACACCCATTTTCATTGTTTTAACAGGTAGATTGACTGCTAAAAGTGATGTGTATAGTTTTGGTGTTGTATTACTGGAACTATTGTCTGGACGGCGAGCTGTCGATAAAACAAAAGTTGGTGTCGAGCAGAATCTTGTAGACTGGACAAAACCATATTTGGGTGACAAAAGAAAACTATTTCGGATTATGGACACTAAGTTGGAGGGCCAATATCCCCAGAAAGCAGCCTTTACAGCTGCTACTCTTGCTTCACAATGCCTATGCGCAGAATCTAAACTTAGGCCAACAATGTCAGTGGTATTAGCTACGCTGGAGCAACTTGAAGCCCCAAAAACTGCAGCCAGAAACTCTCAATCAGAAAAGCAGATGCTTTCTGTTCCTCACCGGAAGTCACCAATGCGACAACACCATTCTCCTCTCAATATAACACCAAGTGCATCCCCATTGCTATCCCACCGGCAATCTCCACGTGTGCGTTGATGGAGAGTCTCCTTTATGTATATTACTTATTTGACTCCATATTTTGTTTACGTAGCATCAAGTTTGGGCGTGTAATTTGACACAGTTTTGAGTTTTTCTGAGGTTACTTCCACCTGTAATTCCAGAAGCTATGTAGCTATTTTGTAGTGGTAATCTGCTTGATGTTTGTAGTGTATAAAGTTAGCCATCTATCAGTACATATAATTTTGCCGGGTGACAGACATTCATTATCCCGTCACAACTGCTGGTGTCAAATTATCTTGTTGCCAATTTAATCCGTTCAAGTCCACGCTTCTCTCTCTCTCTCTCTCTCTCTCTCTCTCTCTCGTTACTTATAAAACATGTTATGCTTTGTAAAATATTGTTGTACTTGCTGTAGTATGGTTTGCTAAAGCATTGGTTCTTTGATGAAGGCTGGGCATGACAAATCCAGATTTTTTCTAGGCAATTATGCTGGTTCAACTTTTCCTTGTGTATGTCGATGGTCTCTTAATCACTGGAAATGGTGATGTTGAAAACTGAAACTAGCTTCTTGAAGCAGGTTCTTCTTAAAGAAAAATTCATATTAAAGATTTGGGCTCTCTTTAATATTTCCTCGATGTTGAAATTATGGGATTGGATGACGGCTTATATTCCCAATGAAAACTTGTTCATGAAAATTATCATGATACAAGAATGGCAGCTAGCTAGTTACCAATAGAGCATCACTTGCAGCTCAACGACCCAATTCTACTTCTTGTATATAATGCCTGCCATAACCATATGACCAAAAGCAATTCAAGCAAAAACTATTTCCTTCGTTTTCATACACAATGTTGTAGCGTGACATTGTGGGATATAGCATTATCAAGGGAATCAGCTTACCATGCCTGACATCCATTTCATCCAGGGAAAATGCTTCTGTAAGGAGGGCATGGGGTGAACGTAGTAACATGGACCGAGACCCGATTGCTGCTGCTTCTGTTTTCTTGTAACTGCTCCAAATCACCCACAACTTCAGCCATTGTTGGTCTGCTCTTGGGGTCTGAATCAAGGCACCGGAGGATGAGCTCAGCAAACTTGTGAGCTTCTTCCACAGGGAAGTTATTTCCAAGTCTCTGGTCAATCACATGATGCAGCTTCCGCCTGTTACTAAGATATGGTTCAGCCCACTTGGTTAGATCACCCGCCATCCCATCCGAGTATTTCTTCACGGCACAGGAGCCTGACAAAATCTCCAAGAGCACCACACCAAAGCTGTATACATCGGTTTTGAGTGTCACATGCCCTGCAAAAATGAAAAACACATTACCTTGTTTAGGACTATGAAATGTCTGGCATGCATACATACATACAACGGCTGTATACAATGTCCTCGTAAAATAACTGGTCAAGCAACCAACACGTGAAGTACAAAATGTGAGAAATGCGGTATACACCAGTTGTACGTAAGGATTCTTATAATTAATTGCAGGCTCCTCTGCCCTTGTAGATTTTGGTGTCTGGTTGAGTACCTGTCCCTATGTATTCAGGTGCAATGTAGCCTTTGGTGCCAAGAATCCTTGTCATTACATGGTCCTGGCCATCTCGGGGTCCATATTTAGCAAGGCCAAAGTCTGAAAGCTTAGCATTGCAGTCCTGCGGTGTTGGTTAATAATCATCAGGTTGATATATAGCCACAAAAATAAGGTGAACAAAGCTTGGTGCCTTCATCAGAATCTACTTGTTTATCTTATATGTCAAGAAACACGAGTGACAGAAACTCACATCATCCAACAGAACATTCGAAGCTTTTAGATCGCGATGAATGAATGGCGTCTTATGAGTGTGAAGACAATTCAGAGCCTTGGCCGCCCCAAGTGCTACTTTGATTCTTCTGCTCCAATCTAGTAGTGTAGCATTTTCTGTTTATGCCAATCAACTCAACTTTAGCTCAATAACTTCCTTCTAAGCTTAACTCTAGGCTCTATATTTACATGCAGCCAACATAATATGTAAAAAAGAAAACACAGAACTTTCTTCTTCTCTCTCTATCTGAGTGCTGTACCTGTCATGAGTTGGGCCTCCAAGCTTCCTCCGCTCATATACTCATAGACCAACATTCTGTGCTCACCTTCGCAGCAGTACCCTATTAGCTTCACTATGTTTGGATGGCTTATTTTGCTCATAAATTTCCTCTCATTCTGCGGGCATAACATAAACCTCACACACAAGCAGACAGAGACGCAGAGAGAGCTAAAAGAAATAACAAAAGCTGACCTCCCATTGTTCATGGCCTTGTGCTCCAGTCTTCCTGAGCCTTTTGATAGCAATAGGAAATCCTTCACTTGGTTTTGCAGCAGAGTTCAAGTTGCAATAACTGACATACCCTTTGTAGACATCGCCGAATCCGCCTTGTCCGATTAAATTCTTACTGCTAAATTTGCGTGTGGCAGCTTTCAAGGAACTATAACAAAAGCAGTAAAGCTTGTAATCCCGGAACCCTCCTTCCTTCCAAGTTACCGTCTCCAAAGTCCAATTTTTTGGACTTGGAGTGGCTGCATAACCATGCCTTGTATTTTTACCAATCTTTTCTGCACCTACATACACACAAATAAAAAGAAGAAAATAATTAACCAAGGAAAAGAAATGACTTTAAAATAGATGCAATGAGTACCTATATCTGTGTTTGAACAGATGATTGAATTCCTTTCTTGAAGTGGTAATCTACGTCTTTCACGTATAGTCTTCTTTTCTGTCACAAACCATTTTATATTCATTAGAGAAGCAGTAAACACAGACATTTTTTTCAACAAAAATTGTGACATTTGTTTTAAGTACCTTGACCTTGTAAGAAAGTTGGGGAAGCATTTGGAGCTCTCTCTTCAACTGTTCCATTAATCTTCTTCTCGGGGAGAGAAACTTGTAACCCAATGTCCCCTTTACCAAATGACAGAGGAAAAGATTTTCAAGTTAAAAACTTCATGCCTAAAATATTCTGATCATAATGATCATAAGATGAATGCAAACAAACCAGTGGGAGGCCTTGGAATAATGGCAACTGGTGACTCTGGCTCTTGAATCTTTTTCCTCAAGCAATTTCCCATCACCCCAGTTGTTGATGACACTTGTGGTTGAAGAAGCAGAACCGAAAGACATTAATTAAGGTTGTGAGGAAAGAGATCAGAGAGTTTGGTTAATTATATTAATGAGGAACAAGGTGCAGTAGAATGATAAACACGATTATTATTAATTAAAACTAAATACAACCTAGTTAAAGATGATCCGGTGATGTGAGCTAGGTGGGTAAACTATGTGCGGGGTTTGAAGTTATTTCGATGATTAAGGACAACGCAACACTGCTGCCGATTATTACAAGGTGATCAAGTTTGGAAAACTATGAAATCTTTTCTCGTCACAATTTGTCATTAGGAAATGTGCACATGGTTGCTCTATGCCTCTATCAAAACAGCTTAGATTGATGATTGATATGGATCTTAACTTCCTAATTAATATTATATTAGTGGCTGGATTGGATTAGTCATTAAATGATTAATACAGCTGGAAGAGGTGGTCTGGGCGCAGCTTCTCAACCTGGGGTCAAGATGGTGGGTGTAAAGACAAAAACCCGACTCTTCTAATACTAGTAAAAGGGGATGAAGATTATAGTACAGTCAACTCTAGTCAGCTTAACTCTTTTCATTTTCCCTTTTTTAATCAAATAAGCAAGGATATTGTGCCCCGTGAGTTTGGGGTTTGTGAACCATTGAAGAAGTTAAAAACTTGTAAACGACACAAAAATATCTGGGTGTCGTATATTTGGAATATAAAGCGGTATGTCGTTTATGTGAAGGAAAGGTCGTTTGTAATTAATGATTTCAACCTGTGTATATATATATATGGTGCTATTAAACGAACTCTAAAATTAACTGATTACACCATACTATCAAACTATTTATTGAATTACTAATTTAGCATAATATAAAATAACCAAAAAGGATATATTGAATTGTGAAACAAATATAATTTTAATAAGTACACTATACTCAGGAACGGACCTAGGATTTTAAAATGGGATGGGCTAGATTTACCTTATTAGACTGTTAGATTTTAGGCTTGGCTAAACTCCTAGGGCTTGTTCGTTATGAAAGGCTGTATTGGCATGGACTATGATCAAGGATTGTCTTGGATTGGCTTGACTTGGCCTAAGCTAGATAACACTTGTACCGCATTTGGTGTATGCTTGAAAAAGGACAAAATTTTTCAATATTTTTTTATTTTTTTGAAAACATATTAAAGTGAATTTATTATTATTTTTTAGACTTTTCTTCTCTCTGCATCTCATACTTTTCTTCTTCCTCCCTCAGCTTGCTTCTTTTTATCCAGCCTCTCTCCTTCGCCTCTTCTTCTCAATCTATTTTTCTCTTTCCTTTTTTGTTTTTTCTAAATTTTTTTGCTTTGCTTCTTCTCAATCTTCTCCGTCTTCTACTTCTCCCTCTGCTTGTGTAGTCGTCGTTGTCTCATAGTCGCCATCGTGACATAGTTGCCGTCATCCACAACCCATAGTTCAAGCTGTGAAGTTGTTGTCTCCAATCGGTGTTCGCCAAAACTAACTGGAACTTATAGCGATGCTAGATTGGGGTTACTACGTGGGGCTATGACTGTGGGGGTTTGGATCGGTTGCAAGTGCTTGGGTGGTCTGTGGTTGCGGATGGCACTTGGGTTAGGTGGTCGATGGTTGTGGCAGGTGCTTGGTTGTTGCAGGCACTTGGGTTGGGACTTGCTTATCCCCCATTTTCATCATATATGCTTAACAGTTAATATTAAAACTAACTATACAAAAAGGAAAAAACTCACCTGGGCTATAGCCCAGGTTGTACATATCATAGGTCCGTCCCTGACCATACTCACCATATTCAACCCTAATCAAACGTAAGTGAAAAACTCTAATTCCCAAAAAATATCTATAAGCTGTATTTTTCTGGATTTTTAGTAAATAATTTTAAAAAATAAAGGACAGTGTGTATGAATTAACTCACCCAAGAACCGAGATGACAGCACCAAGAACAGATAAAACCAATGCAAACCCAACAAGAAACTGTTGAAGAATACATAGAGTTCCACATGGGAAACTTAACAAAATAGAAAGTCTCATATAATAAATGGTTCCACTCCTAATAACATCGAGACCTTTTGTATAAAACCCCACACCCCCTAAGCAGGGGCGTTTCTACACTAAGGGCAGGCTAGGCAGTTGCCAGCCCAAAGAAAATCTCATATGACTAAACATAGTTCAATCATGCCATTGTTTATTCAATCATGTATTGTAATTTGCAAATTAGTCTGTAACTGTAACCACACACACACACACATATATATATATATATATACATATATAAATATTGAGGATAAAATACAGCGCCCAAGTTGTAAGTTTGTTTGTTTGTTTTTTCTGATGAAAGTTGTAAGTTTGTTTGTAACTAGTAATTGAAGAAGTTAAATACTACAGAGAAGAAAATTGTAATATTTGTATGTGCTCGCTCTTCGTGGATTGTCTCTAGTCATCCTCTCCCAACTCCCAAGTATATTTCTCAGGCGTCCTGTGAACACAGGAAAACAAAAAGTATATGTATGCTTCATTTCTTTATTGGGCTACTAATTAGAAGATCAATGATGGAAAACTGCATGATTAAAAGAAAAATCTTGTTTTCAAATAAGAGAAATAAAGTGTGTTAATTATAGTAAATGATATGTAGCTGGATCTGAATATGCAAGAAGGCTAGCTAATTATAATCAACTCAAACCCCCATGCACCAGTCAATTATATACGTCCTGCATGCGGTAACCAACCTGCTAGGCTACTTCTCCTGTAGCACTTAGAGTCTTGAGATATCATCAAATGACACCCGGAGTTCCCCCAAACACTTCAGTAGAGACTGTAAGTATAACTTATCCCTTAATTAGTTTAATTAAGAGAGTTAGACATCCTAATGAAGTGTTCAGGGGAACTCTAGGGGACACCTGATGCCAGATGTGCTATTAGCTTACGACTAGCTAGTTTTGATTGCTTGGGAACTTATGAAACCAGATAGGAATGCTAGCTATCTATTTATAGTAGTGGGCATGCATCTAGCTTACTTTGCGTTTGTTCACCACATGATATGTGTGCCTCTGAAATATGTTTAAGCAGAGACTAAAGAGGACGACGCAACAGAACTAGCTAGTACTAGGTCGGCAGTGAACCTAGACACAAGTGTGGGTTAGATTGAATAGAAGGTAAGTAATTTGGGAAAGAATCTTGAGGCCGTGGTAGTGAGAGGCCACAAACGCCATTCTGCCTTTTTTGATAGATAGAGATACCTTAGCTAGCTGTGTCGATCTACTTGTCCAGCCTTTCCTTTTCACAGATATCTCTACCAAAATCTTGTACATATATACTGAGTGCATGTGATCATCACACAGAAGTGCTTGTTTATTAGAAAACCAGGTAAGCACTGGAAAGTTTCTCCAAGTTGAACAATAGCATCAACAAGATAACCACCTGGCCCACGCTGATTCGTTCAACTCTCCATCCATAGAATCTTGGCTTAATCTGATAGGCACAGCACAAAATTAAGCTAAGATGTTTGTAAACTACTTCCCTTTAGAGTTGTCTTTAGGCTAACTAGCTAAGTATAATGTGACTTAGGGCTCCAATGCAAGCTAAGTATAATTTTGAAAATGTAAGACCTTAAATATAGGAATGAAAGTGATTGAAGAGGATGTGTACTAAAAGTAGAAAAGCTGTGTCCATGGGGAGAACTTGTGACCACTCACTTCAACAATATTCCCACCCTCTCATGTTCCCCACAATTCTGGCCAGGTTCATCATCAATTTAGGTAATTGGGCAACCCTAAAAGGTCTGAGGATATCATGTCTCTAATCTAATGGTTCTCCTACGTAGTACGTAGAACATACGAAAAGGGCTAGCAAGGCCTTCTTAATTCAGATATTATGAATGAGCAGTAGGCTAGCTAGCTACCATAAATATTGTAGGTAACTGCCCTACACAAGAACACCACAACAACAGAAAGAAATCAGAAGAGATCGTCAGTTGTTCCCTGGAGTTCCCTTGAACACTTCATTGGGGAAATTATCAAAGGGTAGTACATATGTACCCTAATTTATCCTACCGAAGTGTTGGGGGGAACTCTGGGTACCATCTGACACGGATCAACCAGATCAATGCTAGAAAAATATATGTAATCTTCTGATCAGCCTAATTATATGTTGTATATGATATAAAACGATCCTTATCTAACTACGTACATTAGTTCTCTTGCACATTGTTGAATTGGGATTAAGTTGAAGTTTTTGTCCACTGAGCTCCCCTTCTGCTGCAATTCAATATAGTTTTTCTCCTCATAACTTTTTTGGGTTGATTTCTTAATGTGCATGTACATATATAATGCAGATTGATGAATTACAGTATGCTGCTGGGCTACTTCAGCCCTATTTTCTTAATGAGGCTCTGCAAAGTTTCTGGAGATAAACTATTACTGCAGCTTTGTGTTTGTATTTCATCTCGTTTAAACCTTGGTTTGATATAAGATTGAAGCAACAACAGAAGAAGCATAATTTCTTATTGCCGCCTTACCACCGAACTAAAGGAAGAGACCTGAAGTTCGGTGAATTAATTGATTTATGGTGAATTAATGGCTTATAAATTTTAAATTCCATTCAATTCCTAATTGTTTATAGTGGAATTGTGGATCGGTTTCAATTTTAAGTTGATAAGAAATTGGTCCAGCTACTTTGTAAGAATCATTATACTGCTTCTGTAAAGATTAGCAGCTTCTTAGTTCAATAAAATTTGGAATGTTTCAAACTTAGTCATCAGGCACTGAAAGCAGAAGAAAAACGGTAATAGAAAACCTTTGAGCCAGAGAAAACATAAGCATCCTCAACCGCCAACCCCCTTGGGGGGTGGGTTCCCTCCCTTCCCCTTCTCTCTCCATCCCTCCCCTCTCTCTACTCCTCCCAATCCCTTGCTTTCCCCTTTGGTTTGTTGTTGTTGTTTTGCCATTTTGGCTAGTTTGTTCTACGCTTGGTTGTTTTGTTTGTCTTCTTTTTACAGATTTGGAGCTCTTACTTTAGATATACTTTAGATCTCTGTGGTATGTTTCAACTTGTGATTTGGAGATAGACAAAGTGACTGAGCGGTTTTATTTACTTGTGTGTTTGAGCTTGCTTGAGCTGTAATAATTGCATCATCTCTTTGTGAGTTTGATGCTTGTTTGTAGTCTAGTCTCTACTTGTGAGAGTGTAAAGGTTATAGTTGTAGATTTACTTTGGTGTGTGGTTTTCCAGGCTACTGGCTTTTATGATGGAATGTATTTAGCCATGTGTGGCCATATTTGGACTAACCCTTTGTGGTTACTTTGCTTCCATATTTGTAACAATCCTTTGTGATTATGTATATTTGTAATAGCTCTTGTGGTTGACAGCCTTTTTATGCATAAATTATGAATGCAACATTGCCTTTATCTCACCCAAAAAAAAAAAAAAAAACAGACATATACTTATGTTGTGTTCTAATGATTGACTCGAATTGTTGAATTCAACAACATCAATGAATGGATTTATGGTGGTAAAATTTTCAAGCGTACGTAACGCTTATTTACTTGTTCTTATTTCAATTGGTGTACCTATTAAATGATAAAACAAGCTACAAACAATGCACACAAACTGAGACTTCAGAGAGAAATCATGTATAGGTGGACTTGAACCACACATGCAGGTTTACGAAGAATAATGATATATCTTGAACCAGATACCTTAAAATTCTCTTAAATTCGAACAGATTTTTCCATTATTAGAACTAACATCTCCACACGCGCTTCCGTGCATGCGACAGGCTTTTTTTTAAAAAAAATAAAAAAATATTTTAGAATTAAAAAAAATAATGGGTAATTGTGTTCCATAAAAATAGGATTCATTATTTAAATTTTTTTTAATATGAAAAAGTGTGAATTTACCATATTATCCTCATTTAATTAATAATTTCAATTCTTAATATTTGCATTAACCAATGACATTTTCTGGTATTTTGAATGTTTTATCATTCTCTACCTTTTACTTTATATATATAGATTAACAAGTGGCCAAAAAAGGGGTGGATTCTAGCATGAAATTTATAAAAAAATCCTTAGAGAGCTTGTTTGGAGAAAATAAAACCCTCAACTAGCCACTTGTCATATTCTAATTGATTATTAATGTGTTACAATTTTATCACTTGAAAATACAACAAGAAGTTTTTCTAAAGTATTGGACTTAAAGGGCTTTTTTTATAACATGTAATGTTAGAATGAGCCTATTTGTGAAAGATTTTTTCTTTTTTCCATTAGCTAAATCTTTAAATCAAAATTCAAACTCTTTTTTCTTCTTCATAATATTGAAAAGAAAATTATTAATTTTTGTTAGCGGAAGATGCCTATTTTCTGTGTAACAGACATCTTTATATTGGAGGAAGAATAATACAAATTAATTATTTGTGCTTATCAATAACACACGTCTAGGTATAACACTCATACGTCTATTGTTAAAGGCCCATTTTCCAAACCATTCGTGGTTACCAATTTCATTTGAAGGGCCCATTTTCTAGAGTCAACCTAATTAGTTACTTTCTCTTAAGAAATTAAGGCGGTTTCCCATTACCAAAAGGAAAGAAAAGGAAACGTTTCGATCAAGCAACTCAAGTCTTAGTCGGCCAATCCCCAACGAATAAGGAAACCCACCACCCTAACCCTATATATATCTGTTAGTCCTCTCACTCCACAATACACTTCTTCAAACAACCAAAGCAATTCTCAAACTCTAAGTTTCCAGCCGCGACTGATTTCCATGGAAGACTTCCTTGTCAATGCCATCCATCACGAGCGTGAACGCTTCAGCTTCAGCTTCGACAACATTACTGCAGAACTAAACAACCCTAATCGTGTTCATAACCGGAACCGTTCATCAGTGCAGCCGGTTAAGTTTCATGTCAAGATTGTGCACGATACCCATTACAAATACGTCAATTGTTCCTTGAACCGTATTGAAACCACCATCGTAGAATATGTGAAAAGAAAGGAAAGAGACTGCCGATTCGACATGGACAAGTTAAAGAATTTCCGCAAGGCGCATGAGATTCTTTCTATCGTACTGGCGCTAGTTGGAATCAGTAGAGATGATGCATCGAACAAATGTATGGTGGGTAAGATTAGAGTGCAGGGTCTCATACTCGGCAATAAGCTTAGCAGCATGGGTCGTAAGGTGTTGGGGTTGTGCGTATATATGAGAACAGAGCAAGTCAAGATTCGCTGTGAGTCGTGTACGCAATTACTGGAGATAGTAATGAGTAGTAGTAATAATGAGGGCATGGTGCCGGCGAGTGGTTCAGCGGTCGAGACGGTACTAAAGAGGGTTCGAGTGGGTGCAGATGACAAAGAAGCATCATGTTGTGAGGAGGAGGGTCGAGAGAGAAAAAGAAGGAAAGTTTGTGTAAGTAAAAGTGATAGTTGCACTGTTTGCATGGAAGAGTTTAATGGAGGATCAGAAGTAGCTTGCATGCCTTGCTCACATGTGTTTCATGACAAGTGCATAAGGACATGGCTCAGACAAAGTCACTACTGCCCGGTTTGCCGATTTGAAGTGCCTACTGCTGATTGAGGAAAATCTTGCTTAATTTGGATGTACTCTAAAGTTCATCATTCTAAGATCTTCTTGGATGAAAGTATATTGTAATTGAAATATTACATATTAATAAATAAAAATTTGTCAATCGTTTTGTTTATTTCTGTGTTATTTACATTTGATAATATGCATTTCTTTTAATTTATAATATGACTTTCTATCTAAACTGAAACGATAATTAAAGAATAAATACAATAGGGATAAATACATGAGAAAATTCAATTAGGATTAGATCATCATCAGTATTTGAAAATCTCCGATATTCACTACAGATGGGTTCCACGAGATAGTAAAAGTTTGGAACATATAATTTCCAAACGAATTGCAAGTCCAAGCCCTCTTTTCAAAAGTTTGGCTTATTTACCAAAAAATTGTGCTTGCATATACCAAAATTTGTAACTTTACTTCCAAGTAAATTTTACCAATTAATTAGTTGGAAAATTAATCAGAACTCTGCTGTCTTGAGATATATTTTCCCAAAAGAAGTCGGAAACCAAGAGGTAAGAAACTTCCCACCGAAGAAACCCAAGTCTTGACTGGGTTCTTTAACAGTTTGTTAATCCTACACCAACTTGGAAACAACCAACCTCTACAATATAAAATCTAAAACCTTAGTTTATATTTATTTTAGACACTATCGCTGACTTAATTAATTAGCTGCTGCTTCTCTCAGTCATGGAAGTCGAAGATTTTGAAGTCCATCACGAGAAGGATAGCTTGGACTTCTACGTGCTACTCCTTACCCCACACTTACTAGGCAGCTACGAACCTTCATCGCCGGCTCGGTTTCTTGTCAAGTTTGACTACCAAGTCAACCACATATACTACGATATTCGTTCATCAGATGATATTGGAACTCGTCGTGAAACCCTCGTCGACCAATTTCAAGAAAAAGATGAAAAAACAATTGAATTTGAGAAGCCTGTGTTGAGGAAGTGCGGCGAGTCGTACGAGTTTCTTTCTCAGGTGTTGTCGTCCTTTGGAATTGCAAGTTCAGATGAGAATGCTGGGTTGCATGATCAAATAGTGGATGGGATTATAAAGTGGGGTCGCAAAATTCGACAGGAAATTTTTTCCGACGAGCGTCCAGAGGTATGGGGGTTGTATGTTCATATTGGAAACGACCATGCCATGTATAGGTGTGAGGAGTTTTTGAAGGGTAAGGTTAGGTGGAAATCAATGGCGGCGAGCAATTATAAAGGTATGGTATCGATCAAGAGGGTGCTAAAGAAGGTCATAGATGGTAAATTAGGATCATGTGTTGATGTGAAGGAGGAGGGTACAAAGAGAAAAGGAAGGAGAATTACCGGAAGTGATAATGCGAAGGAGGAGGGTAGGGAGAGAAAAACAAGGGGAATAAGTGTAGTTGATGATGAGGAGGAGGAGGAGGGTACAACAAACAGAAAAAGAAGGAGAAGCGTGGTAAGTGATAATGTGAAGGAGGAGGGTACAAAGAGAAAAAGTAGGAGAAGTAGTGGAAGTGAAAGTGAGAGTTGCAGTGTTTGTATGGAGATGACTAAGAAAAAGTCGCGATTGGTTGTTCCGTGGTTCCTTTAAATTTGATTGTTTTGAGGCTTCCTTCGATGGATGAATTGTTATTAATATTGTGACTAATTTACATATGACCTTATTATATTAAGGTTTAGTGTTTAGTATTTGTTGGCTTTGCTCATTTGTGATGCAGTTTCTTTTAGCCCTAAATTCATCGTCATATCATTCATCAACAACATCTAATATACATATGGCACTTTTAGATTTGCAGGTGGGATTGAGAAATAATCAAAGTTTCAACACACAATTCAAACATGAACAACACTCAATTATGAGATCCTTTTAATTTTTGTTTAACATACTAAACCACTTTTCCACTCCCATAAAAAAATCAACAGAGCTAAAGTAATGACCTTCTACAAGTAATCTAGCTCGCTGCAAAGGAATTGGGAAAAAAATAGTTAATTAATTTTTAACTGAACATAATTGGCTATCAAGCAAATGAATAAAACAAGCAGAACAAGAAAGCACTTACTTGAATATTGCACCTAGCTATAGCTCATCCACATGTGGTAGGCTATATATCTATCAAATGACTCCAAGAGTTCCCCCAAACACTTCAGTAGAAAGTAGAGAGAGAGAGAGAGGCATAATTAAGATAATGCCCATAATAATCTCCAATGAAGTGTTTGAGGGAACTCTAGGGGCCATCTGATGCCTTGTTCATCGACCTTTTTACTTAACTTATAGCTTTGGTTGCTGCCTTGGTTTCGAATGGTTCCTAAGCAACCCAACTATTTATAGAGAGAGTAACGTTGTTGTCTTTTGCATTAAGCTGATCAATATGTTGTTTTGTGTTCAAAGATCGCAGAAAAATTGTCAGTGAACCTAGACGCAACTATGAACTAGCTACATGGGAATATCGATTTCGAGTAGCCACGTGCCAGTGATCTGCTTAAATGGCTGAAAAAAATCACAATTAAAATGATTAAAATGGGTGTCCTTTGCTATATATTGTTGTGATGTAGATGCTGCGTTAAAAAGGTTGTTCAAGTTGATGAACGCATGTGGCAAATGAGGACCTGACCCCATCTCTATGATCTCTATCAAAAAGATTGACGAGGAAGATGCGCCTCGGAAATGCAAGATGCTTTGCTGGGGGATAGAGAAAGCTCTGGGGGCCTTGTCGAGCTTTATCACTTACTAGATGTACAACTACTTTATTCTCTACTATTAATCTTCCCCATGTTTCTGTCCAGATTCAAATTTCAACAACTCAATATATATGATTACATGGATGGATAGATTTACATTTTTACTTAGCAATTGCTGAAACCACAACTGATTGATATGTTGCTAACTAGCTAGTAATTTCTCAGTTTGTTCATAATTAACTTGGCCAAAATCAAAGTTGTTGGGAATGTCATGTACTAGTGTATGTATGCATATATACTTGCTCAAACCCTTAACCAAACAAATGAAACATAAAGAGTTATGGAGTTATCAAGTTCTAATAAATGGTACGTAGTATCAACAATAACTCTTTAACTTTTATTTAGAGAAAACTAAAATCAGTAGAAAAGGAAGAAAGAAAGAAAAAGACATACTTTTAGAAATAGAGTGTTGCTAAACGAACCTTAAAATTAACTGAGTACAAACTATGATCTAAGTACACCATAGTATTTTAATCAAAATGTAAAATTAACTAATTAGTTGATTTTGTTTTCTATATTTAGCTTCCTTGTTATACGAGAGATGAAACTCAGAAGATCGAATTTATTAACCCATCAACACTAGAAGGAAGATATATAAGTTAAGACTAGTAAAATATTGTATATTCCTTAAATCAGGTGGTTCCTAAATGCCTTTATCATTTTTGGTGAAAAAAAACAAAATAAACGCCAAAACCAGTCTTTGGGGTTGACATGGTTGTTGCCAGTGGTGCGGCTTCTATTACTGCGTCTGCCAGATTCATTATAAACGAAAGAGTATAGCCAAGGGCGGCACTCGGCCCCAATTCTCAACGCCCCTGGGATTATACCATAAGTTTATAGCCATTGACTTAATATAGCCTTCACGTTGATACCATGAGTTTATAACAGAAACAGGCATCCTTGATAAGTAGGCATCCTTCCTGCAAGATTGAATATTAGTTGTAAAAACGAGAAGCAAAAGAAAAAAAACCATTCCTTAATGTGGCTAGAGAGGAGAGGAGAGGATTGATGAGAGAGATTTTGTAAAAGCTTGGTAAATATCATATCATCTTACCTTGATTTCAAGATTCATTTTCGAGCATTTAGATAGGAAATGTTGAATATAGTACTGTACTTATTAAAATTATTTTGGTAGTAGGGTGAAGGTTCGTTTAGCAACACTCTTAAAAATAAAACTCCTAGGTATCCAATGAAAATTTGTGTAAACCCCCTCCCCAAATCGCCTATACTAAAAATAATTATAAAAGAAAAGAGTGAAAGGGAGAAGAAAAAGTCTAATAAGATAAAAATTAAGAGAAAGAGGAATCATATCTAGCGAGCCAAGAGATAACTTAGTGGTCAAGAAAAAAGTAAAAACGTACACAATAATTATATGATACATATATTACCAGAACCTCCATAAATATATATATATATAGCTTGTATTGAGGGACACCCTTTGTAGGGCCCACTCCAGATTGTATTTTACTAATTCAAACCGTTTATTTTGGAAATACTCATTCCAAGATCATCTCTACAAAAAATCACTTGAATCCGATATCATTTGACCACTCAATTGAGTTCTTGAAAGTTTAGTACTTTCTTGAAACACCGTGTTCATTGATTTTGTACGACACAATTGGATGTCGAAACGGTTTCCGATTTGTCTAATTTTTTGCAAGAATGATCTATAAATATAGACTTAAAAAATAGATATATATATATATATATATTCCCTTCATATTAATATATAGTAAAACATATGAAATCCTAGGATTGGGATAGCTCACTATTCAAGGTATGTTGAAGGAAGAAGGCTAACTTCTAAATTTTGTTCAAGTAAATAGGTAAAAGATGAATGAGTCATTAAGCAAATTTATCCCTTTTAATCTTTACAAAATAAAAATAATACAAAAAAATATTTCGACTCTATCTTATTTCTTTGCTTCAACAAAATTTTGAATTTTGTGACTTATTCAATCCAATTCAATCCCAAACACTTGAATTATTCTAAGAATAAAATTTCAATTAAAAAAGAGTTATGAAAGGAAATCAAGATATATATCCAAGCAATAGCCCGTTAACACAAGTTAGTGGACCGGGCTGGCTCCATTTAAAATGCAGGTGCTTGTTTGAATTGCCAACTTTACTTGAGATTAAAAAAAAAATGTTTCTAATTTTTCCTAAAACAAGTGGGAGTGTTTAAGAAACTTGTCGCTGAAGAAAGCGGAGTTGGGTAATTTAATTGCTAATAATCCTATACCAATTTGGAAACAAACCACCACCACCCAATCTCTATATATACTTGTTAGTCGCATCCCTAACTCTACACAACTCTAAAACCCTAGCTACTTCTTCTCTTTAAGAAACTATTGCTCATCACTGAATCAATTGCCATGGACGAAGAAGCAATTGAAGTCCATCACGAGGACAGGCACTTCAGCTGTAAAGCTTCACCCCTTACCCCAGATTTACTAAAAGGCTTCCATGATGATGATGATAATGGTGAAAGGCTTCGGGTCAACTTTGACTACGAAGTCAACCACATATACTATGTGTAACACCCCGACCCCATTTATTTTCCTATTTTAATTTAATTAAGAGAAAATATTAATTTACTCTTGGGTTAAGGGTAATTTTGGTCACTTTTGTATCCGGGAAGATTTTGGGACCATGAGTGGTGTGTTTGCGTAGGTGGTACTGAGACGAAACCGTAGACAGGCGGTAGGCTTGAATCGGAGATTTAACGAAGTTTTGGCGATCGAAACTTGTTCGGTGGCAGAACCGTAATTATTTCGAAGTAAGTTTGGGGTAAAATCAGATTTTTCACATTTACCCCTCACTTTCTCTCTCTCTCTCTCTCCCGCGTCTTCTTCTTCTCCTTCCTTGCGATTTTTCCTCATTCCCGTCACTGTTCACCGATCGGAAAATTCCTCACAGCCACCACTTCCGACCACCCCGTCCGACGAGACCGGTCCCGCTCGAACCGCA